CTTTCTTTATTACTTTGTAAGACCTCGCCACTGTAAATTTGTCCTATCAATAGATGTATGTATATTTTGTCTGTCACATATCAGGAATAACAGTATTGTAAATTCTTGGGGTTTGACACTATATATATCAAAGATTTGGGCTAATGTCCTTTTATAGCCCAACTATGCTCACAAAGGGCTTATACACGGTATATCTCTAACAAATTGAGATCCATTGATCTCCAAGTCCTGACTCACACGTCATGAGGCAAACACAAGCATACTGACCCTGACTACAAGAAAAACCCTAAAACCTCTTAGTTCATAAAATGGTCCAAGAACCTCGCCTTAATCAATCAAACATGGTTATTTCGGCCTATTTGAATCCCAGTATGCAAAGACTCTGATAGCTCCCACTGTGACTCTGAACAGTGCTGGAATTGCACATTAGGCCTTTGAAAGGCCATAATTCCAATAGACCATCCTCCTTTCCTCATTCCATCCAAACCCATATGGCCCAACGAGTATTTTGATTTGACTATATTGTATCTTCAAAGTTTCCAATCTAGTTTTGATCCTCTCTTTGTCAAACCAAGGACCATACCCTTTATATGTAGAAGTTACTTTAGTAAGGAGGCATCCCTACCAAACACCCCATATAGCGTCGTACCTTCTATCGAACAATCTACCATGACTCCTAGGAGGCTCTCATTATGTGGGGCCTATCCATTGATAATCCTCCCAATATTTTCAGAATTCATTCCTATATGGTCAGACATGATTTATTATTGAAGATAAACGAAAATGATCCAATGCAACCGTTGAATAGTAGTATAATGCAACTGTTGTATAGTAGTATAATGCAACCACACCTTTAGAAAGCCATATTTTTTGCATTTGTATGACTCCAAATTTTACACACACATTCTCTTCATCCTCATAATCAATCCTACGGAAAAAAAAAATTACAATTTGTACCCTAGATATGGTCAAAATTAGTACCCATCCAATAATGAATCTCGACCATCCATTTGGTGAATTTCAAGATCTAGTCCTTGACAAATTCAAAATCTTTTTTTTCTTTTTTAGCATTATTAATCTAATAATGATAACATTATATAAAAATTTTGGGAATAAAAAAATGCTTATGAGGCATTTATCTAACCATCTCAATAAAATGAACGACTTATATTAATTGGGCTAGAATGAAAACTTTCTAGAGAATTTTTTCAAAATTTTATTTTTTGTGATTGTTCTTCACAATGAAAAGAGTGCACATTTAAAAATTTGTGTCAAACAAATATTTCTAACATAATTTTTGAAGATAATTGCATTATACTACTATGCAACCGTTGCAGGAAATCATTCCCCGAAGACAAATATACATCATCCACATGAAAACAATGTACTTTATCATAATATAATAGCATCCATACAAACAAATCACATTCTTTCACTAAAAAAGCACATTTTTTCATAAAATAATAACATTCACACAGATGAACCAGAATGCATTCACTGAATAAACACTACATCACAATATAATAATATTCATATAGATGCCTTGCATTAAATAAACAAACCAAACCCGATACATTGCATACAAGTTAAAATAAGAAGAAAGGTCTCTCAGATAACTGCTGGTACAATCACTCCTTTTTTATAAGGAGGTGAACAAGTACAATGTTGAATATTATACTCATAACTAGAAGTAATAAGCAAAGAACTAGAATTTTCACAATTGCTCGCTTTTCAGATTTCTCCAATGCAGTCGTTCTTTGTTGATCTTCAATCATCTTGGCCAATGTTTCTGAGTTCGACGATGAGGCTAGTGCTATGGGTGTGTTGTAGTTGTGCACGCTACTAACATAGTCATCACAGAACCCATTCGAGGCAACACATGAGGTGCAGTTGTAATACTTCATAACTGGATTTTTTACAGAGCTAGATGTGTATGTCAAGGATGGTTGTGTACAATTTTGACATAGCTTAACTGGATATGATACGGTACTGCTAATTGATGAACTTACCATAGTTACGCCTGCAATTAAGTAGTATGATGCTTGTTAATATTTAGTTCTTGATACCATGGGAAAATATATGATGAAGAGTAATCTAATTTATAATGCAACATCACTATGAACTCTTGTCTTGGCAAGACTCTCACTTTAATTAAGGCCATCAAGCAAACGTTATTGTGAGAAACCTCTTTCCTACTACAATTCATGTAGAAAAAAAGCTCTCTCTCTTTCTCTTTCTCTCTCTTTGCTAAAAAATGATCTCTAAAATATAAAAAACCATCTCAACCATTTCATATTGGAGCATAAAAAACACATCTTCAACTAAAATGAAGCTAAAAAATCTATTCTTTGACTAAGAGAAGCCAAACAAGCTTGATGATGCTTAAATTCTACTTTCTCATCAATATTCTATGATTTCAAACTCGAAAACTGCAATGAACTGAAAGCTTGAAAAAACTTTGACTGCAAACTAGAAGCACATGTTTTAAGTTTCATAAAAAAATAAATAAAATCTAAATCACAACTCTAAAGTGGCTAAAAGTTCATTCCTAAATAATGAAAACCCATCTCAAATCTCTCCATTTCATATTGGAGCCAATACAAGCAAAATACAAGCAATGAAATGAAGAAAATAAACACAACATCTCCAACTTAAAGACACAAAATGGAAGCAAAACTATAGTCTAACGATTGCATATTAGAAAATACTAAAATATTCCGTTTTAAACCTACGCAAAGCATATGAACTCACATGGAGAACAATGTAACTCAAAAGAATTTCACAAACAACGTGAAACATGCCTATGATTTCGAGAGCACAATTCATTTGAAAATCCAGCAAAACCAAAAGCAAATATTGCCAAAATTGCCGTATTCTATTAATCATTTAACTAAAATCCTGCACATTTTTGCATCATATGCATGAGCATATTATTCTAACAAGCAATAGAAACTAGCCAAGAAAGAAGAAAAGATCTACAACATTCATGAAACAATGGTTTTCTGTTTCAAGCATTGCAAAACAATTTTACAGTAAGCTAGAAACAATCGTTTTTTGTTTCATAAAATGAACTCAGAGAGAGAAAAACGAAAAAAATTACCATGAGTTTTTGGATAACCACCGTGCTAACAAATTTCAAAATTCATAAAAGGAACCCATTTCAAATCTCTCCATTTCATATTGGAGCATATACAGGCATTATGATAATGAAAAAAAAGCACAACACTAGGGTTGTAGGAACACAACATTGGAGTTGCAAAAACGCAAAAAGTGAAGAGGCCATCAAGGACCAACAAAAACTAAATAAACAAAAAAGGAAAAAAAAGCTCTGATGGTGGATTATTCAATCCACATATCAAGGGAGATTGAAAGCCATAACGAAAGAAGCAAAACGTTAGGGTTTTATTTAAGGGTGACAATGGGCGTGGTGGACCGACCTGGCCCTAAAAAACTAGGGCTTGTGCCACAATACGTGGCGGTTGGGCACCAGAGCTTGGCAATCATGACCTAGGTTAGGGCTGATTGGGCCAGGCTGGGGCTGGGCCAGTCTTGTGGGGACTAGGGCCGGGCTAGGGTCACAGGTAGCCTGGCCCAAGCCACCCCTAATATTGTTTTGATCTAAACTAATAAAATAAAAAACCACAACACTAGAGGTGCAAAGACTCAACATTAGGGTTCCATAAACATAACAAATGTTGAAACCAACAATGAACCACCAAAACAAAAAAGGAAAAGGGGAAAAAGAAAAAAATCTTAATGGTGGATTAATCAATCCACATATCAATGGAAGATGGCATGCAATAATGCTACACCAAAATTGTATAACATAAAGTTGTCTTCATTGATCTAAACCAGAAAACCAAAAAAAAAAAATTATTGAAAAAGAAAACTTAAATCACCATAAAAAACTCATAGATTTAGGGAATACCTTGTGGGGATGGGGGGATGAGAGGGAGAGAGCGAGGATGGCGACGAGGAGGGGCAAGATGATAGCTAGAGGGTGAGAGCGGCGCATAGGTTAGGAGGGATAGTGGGTTAACTATTAGGTTTTAAGGGGTCATACCCTAATAAAGTTTTTCTAAAAAGTTTCAGCATGCGTTGCGATTTTCTTTCAAAAATAGTAAAAAAAAAAACTTAGGATTCCAACTTTCCCAACTTGCTCCGAAACAAAACCAGTGAATACTATAATAGAAGGAAAATCTAGGTGCTTTCTCCATTTTTACTTTTACTAAACACAACCATATTGTTTTCGCTTTAATCAATTAAGACACATTTAATGTGTAAGAAATATTTTTACATAAGCATTTTTCACATAAAATAATTATCTCGTATGATTAAGAACAGGAAATCCCTACGCATTTTTTCGTACTAATCAGTAGCCAATGAAACGGGCAAAAATTATATTTCTCATGCCCGGGCTTTTATTCTCACTTGCACCTTCAAAAAACTACTAATTAATTAAAAGTGGTTAAAACCTATTATCCCCACTAATTATTATTAGTATATGTTTATTAATTTTTAAAAAACATGCCCGTGTTCTTCGGCATCTTGATCACCGTAGTAATGAACATATTCCTCCAAGGTTCGTTTTCCCATTGAAGTACATCGCCACGACACATTCGGGGCGGGACGCCTCCTCAGGGTAGTAGAAACACAGACACTGACTGGCCAAGTGGGAGAAACAAGACGCAGAAGGGGGTAGAGAGAGATAAATCGAGCAACAAGGAGATAGCAAGAGAGAGAGGAGAGAGAGAGCGAGGGGGGAGGGAGGGAGAGATGGTTCGGAAGGCGACTGTTGAGTTCGATGAGGGACCTCCTGATGACTTCGACCCCAACAACCCCTATGCCGACCCTGTGGCCATGTTAGAGTACAGGGAGCACCTTGTGAGAGAGAAATGGATCCAAATTGAGACGGCTAAGATCTTGAGAGAGAAACTCAAGTGGTGCTATCGCGTAGAGGGGGTGAACCACCTTCAGAAGTGCAGGCACCTCGTCCAACAATACCTCGATGCCACACGTGGGGTTGGCTGGAACAAAGAGAATAGACCTCCTGGTCTTCATGGTACGAATTGGGGTTAGGGTTTTGGGAATGTGGGTTTCTCATTCGTTTTCTGTCTCATTTTTTATCTACTCTCCGTAAATGTTTGCATTTTCCTTTTCTTGTGTTTTGGATTTGGACGGTTAGTTATGGGAATTTGGATTTTTTCTTTTTAGCGCAGTTTAGTTTAGGGTTTGCAGATTGTTTGCATTTGCAATATTGGGATTGGGATTCTATATCTCATTTGGAATTGTTATTTTAATTGTACTTTACAGTTTTCATTGAAACTAGAATTTCTTCTTGCATCATAGTTTTTCTAGCTGGAATTAGGTATGGGATGGTTGGTTGTTGAGGAAAAAATGACTGAAGCTTTGTTTTATTCCCAATTGTGTTTACCTTTCGTTATTCTTTTGGGGTTTTCTGCCTTTAATTTTTTGGATGGGTGTCATTGCTTGATATTTTTGTGGAAAGTGTTGAGAAAAGTGCAGCTTTTATGGAGTTTGTAAATTTCCCTTTTTTTTTGCAAGTGATGGTTATACACTGGTAAACTCGTCGGAATTTAGAGGCTGTGCTTGCTGTTATGTGCTTGTTTCATATAATAATTTTCCATATGATTTTGGAAGAAAATCTACCTAAGTAATGCTTTAAAGTTCCTCTGTGAATAATGGGGTGTGAAATGCATTAATTTTATATGGAATTCCATGCACTAGTGTAATAATTTTAAATTAATGTTTTCATATTGGTTGATTATATCTGAATTTTCGAGGTATTTTTGTCAATTGAGGCTAGTTGTGGAACTTTTTTTTTTTAATTTATGATGATTGAGGGGTTCATGAATATATTGTAATAAGCATTGATAAGGGATGGAATACAGTAGCTGAGTTGGTTGCTCTTTTAACATGCCTAGAATAGTTGATTTTTTGGATGTGCGACTTGTTATCATCCATGATTGAATAAGATTCCCCTGATTTCTATATTATTTATTTTTTTATTTTTCCTGGGGTAGTTCAGTGGAGAAGATTGTCCCATGCCTAGGATAAGAATGGAACTCAAGACATCATGTTGTGGTGGCCCCCTCCGCCACCATGACCACCTAGCCTTGAGCCCATTCCTTGATTTCTATATTCATTGTATGTTTTTTGAAAGAAGAAGCATATGTAAAATTTCCTCAATATTCCATTGAGTTTTACTAATATTGGCTGTTGTGGTCCCATAATATGGTTCTCATATTTCTTGTCTAGATGGATGAGCTTGGGTTGGCTGAGATTCTACTACCATGACCAATTTGGTTTTCTCTCTCTTTTGTTTTCTGGTAGATAACAAGGTAAAAAGCGTTGCGTAAGTTGCAATGAAATGCATCCTAAGGGACATATCTTGAGGATAGGAAGTTTCTGACTAATTTGACATATAGGGTACCCCTGGCAACTTTTCCAACATATTGTTATATTCTCTATGCCAAGCAAATGTAATAAAAATTTTGCTTTTGGCTTCCACTTAGAATGGTCCTTCTGTTCATCTTTATGTTATTTAAGAGTGCAGAGTAGTGATGAGAATTAATAACGAGAATCATTCACAAGTTTTGATTTTGACTTACTGTGGCTTTTGATTTATTGGGCCTTTTCTATTGAATAGGGTTGGCAATGGACCCGGACTTGATCCGAGAACTGGCGGGAATACCCGAGACAGGTCCGGGTATGAGTCCAAGTTTTGGACCTGCGGGTAGGATCCGGGTCCAATAAATGATATCTGAACAATCCTGGGTCTGGGTACGGGTATGGCTATACCCGACCCAGTGGGTACCCAGACTGTATTTATTATATAGAATTTAACTTTTGTTTTATTATTTTATATAATTTATGTTTTTAGACCAACTCTAAGTTCCCTGCTCTGCTCTATTTATAGAGCTTACATCTCAGGAGTTTTATACATACAACCACTTTTTGCTTTTTCTTATTATTAGGGGTGGCAACGGGTTGGGTATGGGTCGGGTCCTGCTGAACCCGCACCTGTACCCATACCTATACCGCAAATATTCTTATGGACCTGTACTCGGATAAGTACTCAACGGGTCCAAAAATATTGTACCCAGACCCGTACCCGAGATGGTACTAAGGACGGATGGTACTAAGGACCCAGACCTGGACCCAACAGAATTCTCTTGGGCATTTGATTTTAAACTCCCCCACCCTTTTTATAGTTCTTACATCGTTGTGAATTTATTCATCTCTTCGATGTGGGATTAATCCCACCTTCCCACTTTCTCTCTCTGTCTCTCTCTCTATCATTTTTTTTGAGATGCTTTAAGCTTTTTCAATGCCCATGCCAGCCTGCCACATACTTTCTCTCTCTCTCTCTCTCTCTCTCTCTCTCTCTCTCCCAAAAGATCTATAGCTATATATTGTTGAATGTCCATGCCAGCCTTTCACACACTTTAAATTTTTTGAATGCCCATGCCTGCCTGCCACGGTCACACACACATTAATTGCTTTATGGATATCGTTTACTCTTGTTAAACTATCCGATTAAACTTTCCCATTAATTGCTTTATGCCTTATATCAATAGATAATAAGAAAAAGCAAAAAGTGGCTGTGTGTGGGATTAATTAGACATATAAGATATATATAGAACTCCTGGGATGTAATCTCTATAAAAAGAGTAGGGAACTTGAAGTTTGTTTTGGTTTAAAAACGTAAATTATATAAAATAACAAAACAAAAGTTAAATTATATATAATAATAAATACAGGTCTAGGTACCCGTTGGGTCAAGTATAGCCATACCCGTACCCAGACCCAGGATTGTTTGGGTATCATTTATTGAACCCGGATCCTACCCGCAGGTCCAAAACTTGGGCCCATACTCGGACCCATATGCAGACCCATCTCGGGTATCCTCGGCCGGTTTCAGATCGGGTTCGGGTCCATTGCCACCCCTACTTATTATCTATTGATATAACGTATAAAGCAATTAATGGGATGGTTTAACAAGAGTCGACAATATACATAAAGCAATTAATGTGTGACCGTGGTAGGCTGACATGGGCATTCAAAAAATTTAAAGTGCTTGGCAGGCTGATATTGACATTCAAATTTAAAGTGCGTGGTAGGTAGGCTGGCATGGGTATTTAACGATATACATCAACATATTTTGTTGGGAGAGAGAGAGAGCAGTACGTGACAGGCTGGCATGGGCATTCAAAAAATTTAAAGCACCTCAAAAAAATGAGAGAGAGAGAGAGAGAGAGAGAGAAAGTGTGTGGTTGGGATTATCCCACATAGAAGAGATGAATAAATTCACAGGGATGTAAGAACCATAAAAAAGGTGGGGGAGTTTAAAATCAAATACACAAGAGAAATCTGTTGGGTCGGGTTAGTAGTATCCTCTCAGATAAGGGTCTGGGTACAATATATTTGGATACGTCAGGTACGGGTCCTAGTTCAGCAGGACCTGACCCATACCCTACCCGTTGCCACCCCTAATATTGAAGTTTTCATGATTCTGTGGGACAATTGTTTGGGAAAGGTCTGAGTAAGGATCTCCCTTGGCTTAGTGCTTATAGAAATATTGCATTTAGGAAGTCTAACTGTACTTTGTATATGGATGCAAATGTAGTTGGCCTTGAGTAGTGTGACCTTTCAATGATTAGATTGATAACCCATGCAAGGGTTTGGTTCTTTCTTAATCAAAGGTTACCTCATCAATGTTATATCACAGTCAAGTAGTGCTGCAACATGAAGAGAGGTTTGTTAGAGGGAAAATTGATAACCGCTTGGTTGAAGAAAGGGGAAAGAAATGCCAAATTTCATTCAAAGTATAGGTGCTTGAAATGCCAAAGATAATGGCGTATAGTTATTTGAAGGCATTTTGGTGGCTCATTGTATGATATAGGTCCAACTCCTAATTTTAATTATTTTGTATGAGGGTCAGTGAGCATGGATTGAGTGACTTTTTTTAGAGGAAGCAATAAGAGATTTCTTCTTCATCCTTTCTTTGGTTAAGGGGCCTGGATCTAGTGGTCTTGGTTAAGCTTCTAATCAATTTTTTTTTTTTTGAAGTTTCCTTTGGTGTAGAATTTATGTGGATTTCAGTTCCAACTTTCTTCTTATCCAAATGGGTTTGAGAGAGAAATTAGGATAACTTTGAATCTTGTGTATTGCTCGGGGATCTTTCATGAAGTCATAGCAAAGGTTTTTTGTTTTTTTGGATAGCTCATGGATTTCTTGGTATCAATGTCATCATGGCTTCTCTAAAGCTAGATGTTTGGATGGAATATTCCCCATGACTTGGGCGTATAAGTAGGAAGTTGGATATTCTTTTTGTAAGTGGATACCCCTAGAAAGGCATACTACAGAACTAACCTGAAATTTCTTGTTCATAAGATTTGTAAGTAGTATGGGCATTGCAACCCTTTTTGTGTACATACAGTGTTCCAAGAAACGACGGGTGGCTAGGGGGGTCCAGGCCTCCCAACGCCTAGGCGGCCGCATAGAACTTGGGCATCCTATGTAGAATAAACAGGATATGAGGTTGTTTGATTCTACCGTTTTAGGGCTCAAATCTTTGTAAAAACTAAAAAGTGCATATTTAGGCATATCACATTAATCCACACATTTCAAACTAATCATACTATCGCACAGTTAAAAAAGGAAAATATAATTCGCCATTCATAATTTTCGAATTCAGTCATCAATTCATCACCAAGAAAAGGAAATAAATAACACATATGAAATATGAAATGTCCATAGTCCACATACAGTCCTCCATACTCCATATTTATAACCCATATATACATATAAGAGGAATAGAAAAAGGAAAGAAATATAGACTTGAAGACTCAAAGAGTCTCCAGTCATCACTCATCATCAGAAAAAGTAGGGTCAGCTGCATCACATGCATCAAAGTCAAGCCCATTATCATCGGAATCATCTCCCTCCTCATCATGATGGTCATCATGTTCTGTCTCTTTTAAATCTGCCTCTGGTTCCTCTTCTTCCTCCACCACTCTCGTCCTCTATGAAGAAGATCTAGTGGCCTTACGAGCATCGGCTACTGTCCCTGGTCTCCATGACCATATCCCATATCAATCCTTCATGCCCCTCAATCTCATCATCATCAACCAACCATTTCATAACATTATTCATGTTTTTTTATCTAAGAGGTCTCTCTTATCTCTCTTAGCAAATCCTTCAAGTGTCGATTGTACTCTACATAAACTAGGTCATTTAGCCTCTTTGAGTCAAGCTTGTTTCCTTTCTTTGTGTGAATCTAATAAAATCAAAGGAAATTAATTAATATTACAAATTTACAATTGACATAGTAATGAATAATTACTAACTAGTAACTACTAATACAAATTAGTAAATCAATTAATATTACAAATTTACAATTGACATATTAATCAATAATTACTGACCGCCTAGGCTTTTTGGAGGAAGCACCTAGGCGTTCTTAAGGCGGTCACTGTTGGGCGCCCGCCTGGGCGGTGGGGCGGTCGATTAAGCAGTCGAAAGGCCAATAAAAGGCGCTCGCCTTGGCGGCTTGCAAGGAGTATGGCGGAAAAAAAATTCTTGAGGGGGCAAAAAAAGTCATTTTACCCCCATAAAAGGGGGGATAAGGGTTTGGGGGGTCATTCTTGCCCCCAAAATCAAATTTAGTTAACTTTAGAGTGACAAACAACTCGAAAAAAAACTAGTTTTGAAGATTTTTTGAGAGATCAAGATTTTTTTCGAAATCCTCGAATGGTCACGATATTAAAGGATATTCAACCCCAATCTTTTTGAGGCTTATAGGGGCTGTAAAAGAGGATATTTGGGACCCCAAACATTTCGGTTAGGCCCGAAATCGAGTCCACTTCAAGAAGGTTGGTATATTTCAATAGTTTTCATTAGGTTTTGTATTTTTTCCTCTTAATGTCTATTGTCTAATGATGTTTTTTTTGTTATTTGTATTTTTCTTTGATATTTTGTGATATATATTTGATATTTTATTGTCTATTTGGATTATTCTTTTATTAGTTAGTTTAATAATTGCTTAATTCTTAATTGCTTATTAAATTAGTGTATGTGTAATGTGTTTTCTCGATGTATGATTCATAAAGCATAATTATTTTATTAGTTAATTTAATATTCGCTTAATGCTTATTAAATAATTGCATATGTGATATTCTTTTTCGATTTTGTGTTATATCATTGCAATTTTGATGTGTATCTTTTACCTAGATTTATTTTTTGGCTTAATAAGATGCCAATACATTAAAGGGTCATTGTCACTTCTTATTTGTAATAAGAAGCCAATACATACAAAACTTACTTATTAACAATAAAACATACAATTTTATATATAATAAACTTGGGGGAGGTGTGTGGGATCCAAATTTTAAAAAATAAATCACCTTTTTTTGGGTCTGGGCGCCCTAGGTGCCTCAGCCCCCCCACCGCCTACGCGGCCGCCTCCGAAAAAGTACTCCAATTTTGCTCACAGTCGGATGAGGTAGTGGTTATGCTCAAGATTCAAATGACCAACTTTTGTAAGTTTGGAGCACTACACCCTTGTTGGCTCCACCAATTGGCTGCAAATTAATTGTGAATTATGGTTATATATAAAATATAATAAACGATTGACAAATATGAAACTTGAACATGAGGAGTGGGTTTAAGTATATTATTACCTGGATGAATTTTGGTCCTTTGTCTCACCACCGTTGGACTCTCGAAAGACTTTAAAGTGCACTTGTAACTGAATATCTTGATTAGGGATTAGCACATCTAGACACTTATTACATCCCACTCATAATTGTGCCATTTGTGTGTATATCCCTATCAGCATAATGAAAAGCTAGGTTCAAATAATAATTAGCTGCATGCAATGGTCAATGTAGTTCTTATTCCACTTCTCATCAATAATCTTCCAAACTAGCTTGTAGTAGCTCACATCATCATCCAAATTTTGGGCTCTCTTTCTCTTACAACTTTCCATTGTCTCATATATGTAACCCAAGGAGGCCTTGTCATTGTCAACCATACGAAGGACTTTGATAAGAGGAAAAATACTATAAGAGCGCCCTTCACCCCTCGCCAAAAAGCCTTAGATAGGACAATATCTCTCACCTTCTTTCCTTTTTGATCGTTGACCCACTTGCACGCTCTCCAATCATCAGATGTGAACATCTGCCTCAACTGTACTCTCCTTGAATGTATGCTATCTAAGCATAGATACCAGGTAGGAAATCTCGTGACCCATGGCCTCACTATCTCCTTGTTCTTTGTAAATCTATGCATCATGCTGAGGGTGAGGGTGTGGCTATAAATGAAAGCTGTAACTGAGCTAGCCTTCTTAACTGTACCTACAATCTCGCTCAAACCTCCAATAGCCTCAAGAATGAGGTTTATACAATATGCTGCGCATGGTGTCCAAAAGATATTAGGGTAGGCTATGCTCAACAAATTAGCAGCAACAACATTTGGAGCAGCATTATTTGTGAAAGTTTGTATAACATGCTGCTCCTCAACCTCCTTGAAGCCCTTGTTCATCACTTTAAATATGTAATGGGTATCATAGTTATCATGAGAGGCATCAACTATGTTAAAAAAATGAGTCCCTAAAGGACAATTCACCAACAAATTCATCTGACTTCTTCTCTTTTTGTCACCTCTTTTGAACCTTTTTTTTTCGAAAGAGGCTCTATTAGCTCATATAAGGTTGTGGGCTTCAACCCAGGCCCAAATTGGTCAGTTGCCTCTTTACCAAGGTGTAGAAGCTGCTTAGGCGAGCGACATTGAAAGGATTGCCCGCCTCATAAAATCACCAAGCAATGTACTGAGTAGTTCTCTCTCGCTCTTCCTTCTTGATTCCGTCTTCAATGGTTCTTTGCTTTTTTGTTTTCTTACTTGCAACCTCAAGGTCAAGCCAGGGCAAAAACGAATCTATAGGGCCTCTAACCCGAGGCCTCTTAGGTCCCCTACCCTTAGAACCAACTACAACTCCCTTTCGTTTCCCCCTAGTCTAGGATGTAGCAAACTACTCCACCTCATCACTGTCATCATCATCATAATTAACACAAACCTCAAACCTTAGCTTGGCTATGCATTCCCCTCTTTCCTCTTCTTTCTTTTTTACTATATTTAGATAATTATTATCTCCTCCCTAATCACATTAAGAACTTTTTTACATGGGGCAACATGCCCATTGATACCGGCAAAATGTTTCTTGAACCGGTTTATTTTCCCATTTGTGTCATTCTAAAAATAATTGCATCTTATGCAATTTTAATCTAAAGGATTTGGGTTATAGCCGTATCTCCAACCTGGATCACCACTTTTATTAGAACCCGAAGAAGACATCTCAAACTAATCTAAGCAATCTAGAAAACGAAATTTTTCACTAACATTGATTGCTTGATCATCAAATTTCCACCTTTGAGATGTTTTCCAATCTCAAACTCTTCTAATAGAACCCTCTAATAGGCCTAAAAAATCTTCGAATGTAAATCCAAACTCAAAGGGAGATGTTTGGATCGATTTCTTGGAACTTTGAGAAATCCTTCAATCTTATGGAAATCAGAAAATCTCAACTTTTTGAAGTTTTTCTCTCTAAAATAGTTCAAATAGGGAACCAAAACCCCCCCATTGTGCAACCTTAAAATAAAATAAAATGCCCCTCTACAATGGCCATTTTCACCCTTGGGCGGTGCGTAGGCCTTGGGCTGCTGCCTAGGGTTGGGCGTTGGGTGCTGGGCGCCTGCCTAGGCGGCCACCCAGGGACTTCTGGCCCAGGAAGCCTGCCTAGGCCTGGGTGATGCACCCAGGACCCCCACTTTTTAAATCATTGTATCTTATGCATGGTAGCCCTTATGGTGTGTATGAAGTTTGTTTATTGGAGTTGATTGGTTTGTAGACCATCGTATCTTGTTTAAGGTTCTTGGGTGACCTTGAAATGGGACAACATTCGACACTTCTCTATTTACACTCAAATGTATGTGGACATGTGTTGGCAGATGGATATCTGACAAAGCTGGTTTTCTTCATATAATTAGAAGAATCATATAACCAAAACGATAGCATGGAATCATGTGAATGCTTTTCTTTTTTGAGGACTTCAAGACTTAATACATGGATTGTCTAATTTGATATAACGATACTAGCACATATAGTTATGAAGTAGGACACAAATTTTCAATAGGGCATAGAAAAATTTCAGTTATGTTTGAAATAGTTGAAGATTGTTTTGGTCCATTCTAGGAAAGATTGGGAAGAAATTACGAAGATCGATAGATTATGGCTAAAAGATTTTAAAAAATTAGAAAGAAACACCTTGTAGAAATCTCATTGAAATGGGAATTATTCATATTGGATGTGCATGTTTTAAATGTTACGGGATCCTTCTAAAACTATGAAGAATATTTGCATTGATGGGGATAAATTATGGACTTCATAGAAGTTTTTTTTTTCTAATTACTTCTCAGAGATATATTTATGTTCTATGGAAATTCGGGGGATTATTTGGAAATTCCAATTTTCCCAAAACCAAGAATATTGAAACAAGATGTGGAAACTCTTAAATGGTCAGAGATTTGTAATCCATATATTGATTTGTCTTCTTTGATTTCATTTCTAACTGTTTTACTTGTACTGTTGGTTATGTTTAGGTCCCAAGGTCACAGATGAGGAATGACTGACATCTATCAAGACGTATGTTTATGGATCTTGCGAGTATTTCACTAATGTAATTAATTACTTAAGTTTCTTATATAATTAGTTGTTCATTGAATGTAGTTCTCTATGGAAATGATCTTATATGATATCTATTGTTATTAGTTATCATTCTCTTTAGCGTATAAAATCTTTTGATAATTATCTAGTGATGAATTGTTTTTAATCATCTTGGGCGTATTTTGAAAATTTTCTATGTGAAATATAAAGTCATTTCATTTCGAGCAAGCGATTACTAGCAGTGGGTATATGAACGTTGGTCTTTCTACTGCTACTAATCAGCCTTATTTTAGCTGAAATTCTAGCAATTCTCAATGTTGAAAAGGTTTGAGGTGCTGTCTAAGTAGCCATGGGGTTTGGTTGCCTAGGTGTGATGTGAGTGCTGTAAGTTCAAGCCACCCAAACTGTTTGCATCAAAAGTGTGCATATGAAAATATAGAGAATTTGAGGCATTCAAATAGCAACCCCTAAAAGGAGCTTTATATATTTTTTTTGGGGAATAAGTGTTTAGGGGACCTGTTGATGCCCTGTTTAGTTACTTTTGGTCCATTTTTCAGTTTAAAAATATCTGTGATCTGTGGTTACAGGAAGTTTACATCACGAAGTTTGCACATGAAAAATATGGACACAAATTTTGGGCATTCAAATCACGCCCCTGAGGAGCTTTATTTTTCTTTTTAGTGAATAGGAGTTTCAGGGGACCTGTCGATACCTTGTTTATTTACATCTGATCCATTTTTCAATTCAAAATACCTTTCATATACGTTTAAAAGTAGTTTACAAAGATTATAAGGGAAATGTACACAGAGTATTCAACACTATGGCCATACATGAGCCCATTTTTACCTATTTCTTGTTGGTTATCTTTACTCATCTCTACACTCGCAGCCTAGGGCTCCTAGGTGTAGCGATCACCTCTTTCTCTCTCTCTCTGTCTTTCTCTCTCTTTCAAAAGCTTGATGCTAGGCTCTGTGTGCTGATTCTCCATTCCTGAGTGTGTCACAGTTTCATACTTCTTTAGTCTCTTCGAGGATCCTTCTGTTTTGTTTAGGATCCTCTCTCTTCATATTTGAATCACTGTGTAGGGTGTGGAAAGAGAAAGGTACATTCAGTTGTGAGAAGGATAGTGAGATAATAAGAAATGGAGATATGTCATTCAGGAGGTTAAGAATGTTCCTGTATATCTTTGAAGGTTATTCAAAATCTTGAGCAAATGCCTGAAATCAGATCAAATGACAAATATACCCCCTACTCACATTTTGACAGCACCATTGGCAGTCACTTTTTGCCATGTTTGGTTGATTTCTTGCTCAAGTTTATAGGGGCATTCATGCCATATTACTGCATATAATCTTTTCTCATAAGCACATGAACATATTTGAGCATTTTCAGTAGGAAATCAGGTCCAAATTTGACAATTAAAGGTGTTATAAGTTTTGACAGCTGTTTTTGATACATGAACTCAGGAACTAAGCATTAAGGCCAAAATAATGGATTCAAGGCCCGTAACCTACAGTATGTTTTGATATGAATTTTGATCTTTTTGATTATGAAGGCACAGGTTTGGAGGATATAAATTCAGAACTATAGATTTTAGGGTGTACTAGATGACTTAATGTTTGGACTGGGTTTTGGTGGTTACTGGTTTTAGGTTTGAGATTGGCTTGGAAACCTACCCCAGAAAGCCCAGAACTAAAAGTATCTTATTGATTGATTACAAGCTTTTGCTCTACAAACAATATATTCTTGATCATTTATAAAGCCTCCATAACTTGGTCTGTAGAGTGGCGTACATGAGTGGACCTCTGGACATTTTGACTTACTGCAATACCACGTTGCTGCAATACATGAGTGGACCTCTGGACATGTATGTTTGGAACCAGCTTGCTGCCCTTTGTTTCGTCCTCGATAAACAATTTGCTCCTTGGGGGCAACATCAGGCTATTGCTTAGATAGAAGTTCTTATCATAATGATATCATAAAACCTTTTTTAATGGAGATTTATTATTATCTTAGGAAAGTATTACTGTAAACCATTTTTTTTTTTTGTACATGAAGGTCATAATTGCTCCAATTAACTGAGAAATTGGAAGCATAGGGGTGTGCCATTGATTGCACTCAATGAACAAGAAACTTTCTTGAACTTAATGGCACATCATTAGCTGCCTGATTTCCATTCTGGCAACTCGGAGTGATTGTGATCTTCTTGTACTAAATGTAAATAGTCTTATAGTTAATAATCCATAATAGCTGTATTAGTATATAAATGTAATTAATCAAACAACTAATTTTGGTATATTATTATGCAGAACTTTCAGATGATAAGACTTGAGTAAATAAATATGAGTTTTAAAATTTACTTGAGAAAACATATATGTAAATAAAATAAGTGTCTTCTATACATAAAACACGAGTTCGCACATGCGTTATGTGGCACTTAAGAAATGGCTCACAGGTGTGGCGTCTAAGTTCTTTGAGTTAGGGAAAGGTAATAAATAGTAGAGTTATAATATGGAGCGGTAGAACTAATAATGTGAATATGATTGTACGTTTTCTCAGGTATACACCTTTTTTTCCCTCTAGATATACTCATGTTATTCAAAAGTGAATATTCAAATTTTAGATCAATAAAGTACTGATAATTAGGTTTTCTCATTGGGATTAAGTATATAGTATGCTCTTCGGGGAGCATTTTAATTTATACTTTGTTACATTCACGTGGATGCAAGCCATGTGTTATATCCATCTTAAATGCTATTTTTGACTGTTTCTCAAAAAACCAATTCTTTATACAAAAAAGACAATATAATCCCTGCCAACTAAATAAAGTATTTTAAATTTTTTGTAATTTCTTAAGATGTAGCACTTTATTAAAAGGGCAAGCTTTCTATGCTTCCCCTACAGCATAGAAGTTCTATCCTCCCCCTTATCCAACCGTCCATTCTGAATGGAGGGCTAAGATTGCCCCAATGACAATGTCACGTCTCTACACTATATTATTTTTAATTTTTTTCTATAAACTATTTTGACACCAAATTCTGGACATCCATTCCTCTATTAAACTCGCACTAGCGAAAAAATATAAAAAAAATATTTTCAATAAAATTAAATGACCAAATACCCTTGAAAGTTTCAAGGGGTATTTTGGTCATTATATTTTATCGAAAATTTATTTTTAATAGTTTTTGTAGGTGCGCCCCAATGAGAAGATGGCACATACCAAGTTTCATATTCATATAATTTGTAATAAAAAAATTAAAAATAACATACTTTAAGGTCGGATCTAAGATCAAACGGTGAGTGGCTCTCTTCGTCAAAATTGGATGGCTGGGTGGTAGGGGGAGGATAGAACTTCTATGCTGTAGGGGGAGTATAGAAACCTTTCCCTTATTAAAAAGGGTTTAAATTGTATAAAGAAACCACCTATTTAATTTATATTAGTCTATGTTCATTTTATTTCCCAATATATTGTAAAAATTGAAATTTGTAGAAAATGTAAAATTATTTATAAATTTAAGTCATATTAATGGAAGTATATAGTATTTTTGTTTAAAAGTTGGTTAATATTATTTCACCATACACAAGTTAAATATGAATTAAGTCCGCCCTTAGGCTCGTTAAGATGAAGGCGCGACAATTTAATGTCTATTTTGAAGATTTAATGGATATTTTAATATTTTATTTATTTATCTATGTTATTTCCAAATATTTATTTTAAAAGCTCTAAATTTCTTATAAAAATAATTTTAAAATGTCAATCTTTTTTTTTTTAAAATTGGCTAGTAAATGAGTTTAAAATTATAGCAATAAATTAAAATTTAGAATAATACTTATTAAAATTTATAATTATAACTAGAAATAACTCATCATCATCAACATCATCCGAGCTTTATCCCAACTACTTGGGGTCGGCTATACGAATTCTGTTTTGTCATTTTGCTCTATCAAGGGCCATATCCTTAGGAGACTATAAGTCACCATATCTCTTCTCGCTAGTTCTATCATGTCCTATTGGGCCTTCCCCCTGTCCTTTGAGATCTTTCATTTAAATCAAATCGCCTCTCCTAACCACTGCTATATTAGGTCTACATTGCACATGGCTAGCCACCTAAGTCTACTTTTCCTCATTTTATCACCTAGTGGAGTTACCCCTAAGTTCTCTTGTATGTATTCATTCCAAATTCTGTCCTTTCTCTTCTTGCCTCTCATCCATCTCAACATCCTCATCTCAGCTAGTTTTATCTTATAGATATATTTTTCCTTGACTGCCCAACATTCCTTCTCATAAAGCATGCTATGAAACTTCACGTTTAGTGTCATTATTATGTGGCGATTACATAAAATGCCATATCCACATCTCCAATTTGCCCACGCAGCTCTAATTCTATGCGCGACACCTTCATCAATTACTCCATACTCTTGGATTATCGACCCAAGATATTGAAATAATTTTTTTTAGGTATATCTTGGCCATCAATCTTAACTACTTCTTCGCTTCTACTCCTATTATTACTCAACTTGCATTCCATAATCTGTCTTAGTTCGGCTAATTTTAAAACCTTTAGATTCTTGAGCATTCCTCCAAAGTTCCAACTTCTAACTTTGCGTTGACCCTGCCTCTAGCCTCTTCAATCAAAATTATATCATCTCATAATTATAACTATGAATTAGAATTTGTAATTGAGCAATATTGTAATTAATAAAAAATTAAATTTAAATTATAATTTTAATTCCTAAATAAAAATATTCTTTTTCATAAAAGGTGTACATAAGATTACTCGTATTTTCATTTATTTGATTGACACTAATCAGATTAATAGGTAAGTTTTTGAATAATTTTAATAAACTATTTATGAATTCATATGTATAAAATCAACTTATAGATTGAGTTATAAGATTTTAGTTTGAGCCATATAAAGCTGACGTCTAAACTCATGTCACAAGTTGAGAGGGCACCACAACGCCGTACCACCACAAAACAGAACACATTATGATGCTCTAAGGAGTAGTTTA